ACCAAACGTAAACTACGATGATATGACTGCGTGAATATATAGGGGATAGGTTTAACATAATTTTGTTGTTGTTAAGCACAAAGATACACTATGGGCTATTTGTGCTATGCCCACCGTGAGTATCAAAACTCAGTTTTTAACGTTATAAGCTTCCAGACTTGGGTGTACATATATTTGTACATTGGTAAGTTTCAGATAAAAACGCGAAACTTACTTTCGTCCTGTAAGAAATTAAAGTTAGTAGATAGGAAAGCTGTGGCTATTTTTTTTTCTTTTTCTGAAACGAAACAGAGATTTTCTTGGATAATATTTTTTGGGGGATTTTCTAGTTTAACAGTGGAATTGCAACTTAATAAAGACATATATATATATATATATTTAATGAAGTTAATAACAAATACTATTTGTACCCGATGTCCTATTTACAAAGGTTTTACGTTTAATCAAGCTTGCATTTTTAAAATCAAAATGTTTATTTTTCAATACTTATCAGTTGTCACATTGTGAATAAATGAAAATATTTAGTAACTCAATTTTTACACCCCATACGTTCTGCATAACGAAAATTAACGATATGCAGACTTCAAACATATATGCCCACCAGTGCCTCTGTGGTTAGCTTGAGAGCTTATACATTAAAAATCTGGATACAGCGCATATATCCCATTGGGTATCCTTTATGCTTAAATACAAACAATCAAATTTATATTCCAAAAATCCCATGGCAACTAGTGAAAAGATGTTAAAGAAACTCTAATTAAGCCAAAAAAAGTAAATATCACATGAATAATAAATTGAACAAGTTCTTAAAAACGTTTTTCTTCCAAAACACAATAACTGCGTGAATCTCAAGCAGAACAATAAACAAAGCAAACTGTTCTTTAAGCCTAATTTTCATAGAGTTAACGGTACTTTAAATAAGATTTGCATATACTACTGCAGTGGTGCGTTGCACAAGTGCTAGTCATGACGTAACGTGTGACATGTTTAATATCTATCTGTATATATATATATATAGTAT